AAATCCGTTCGAAATATCCTTTGACCATGCCGTCAGATAATAAAACAATATTTAAAGCAATGGATTTTGATTGGTTTGCCTTTTCACTTTTTTTTCTCTATTGGAGAGCTGAGGCTTGCTGGTCCGAGACGCGGAAGTGTGAGGTAGTGGTGATAGGCTCTGCTGCATAATTATTGCACTTGTGCGAATGCCATCATGAAAGCGCTTTCGATTTCCTCTAAGCACGACAAAAAATAGAAGCGATTAGATTTCTTGCCAACACAAGAAAGAAAAAAAAAAGTGAGAACTATCAGTTTCATCAGGGCATAACTACTGACCTCTCATTCCATCTAGCGCTTCAAACGCCCTTGAATAGTTTCTAACAGCAGATATCACACATTCCAAACCATACTGGAGCTCCTCCGTTAATTCTTCAGAAAAGTTGAGGGGCCTGCCTTCCACATAGATATTCTGGTCAACGACTCGAGACTTATAATAAAGCATGAGCATCGCATAGCTGCTCTGCATGGCACAGCACGCAAAAGAAGGCATTGTCCGCGGAGCAACAACTGAGAGCTCATGGGAAGGTGATTGCGCCCTCGAGGAAAGATCTAGAAGGTCCTTATCACCATATACTGGGGCCGGGTAGGGGAGGGTGTGGAACATATGAGCTATGGTGAGAGCTGAGGTTAAACAGATTTCCGTTGATTGTTGATTCGTGAATGGAAACGAATCCTGGTCAACCCAGGTTGAAGAGGAAGTAGTTGGCCCAGATATATCCGACGTCGTCGAGCAGGAGGATGGAGATTGGCCCGGTAGAGGTATTGGGGGAATGTCATATAAGTTGGTATCGGCGCAACAATGTTTTGAGCTTCCTTGTGCATCGGCCTCAGTCGCTAGATACCCTATGCTGGCGCAAGTAAGATCGCAGTGCTTTTTAATAAAAATGGGTATATCTAAGAATGCTCGGAAACGGTGGGTTTTGATGAGTGCGCTGTTCCCGTCAGAGATATATACTGTTCGTGTCTATCGATGGAGAGTGTGGATTTCATATGGAGCTGTCTTACCTCGAGAGCTTTATAAGACATATTTTTCGGATGCTTTGCGCAGTTATTGCTTCAGAATCAGTTATTCCGCTCACAGGAGACACAGGTGGGGCAGTGTTGGCTTGGGCCAAAACGGGGCGAATCCAAGCGTCAATCTTCTTCATCCGTTCGTAAATATATGACATGTCACCTCGGGATTTTAAGGTTTGGTTAAGATCAATGATAAATTGAGTCCCAGCGATAAGGGCATGCTGGGCTCTCATCAGCAGCGGCCAGCACTACCAGATGGATTAGATTACAGACGTACGATATGATGGTATGAAACAATCTTACTTACATCTGGGTCCGAAGCGAAATTTGGGTAAGGGGTCACGAAGCGCGGGTCGTTGGGAATGATTGTAGGGCGCTTTCATTGAAACAGAAATCTCAGCCACAGGGTTCGAAAACGTTCCTAAATAATCTTTTTTAATAGAACTTACAGTCGTGCTCACGATCGAACCTTGACAAACGGAGTAATACTGCAGGGTCATCTTAGCGAAATCTATACGATTAAGTTGCAAAAAGTCAGGCGTTACATACGGTCATCCACCAGGCGCGTCGTCTCGCTTCAGCATAAATGCTATCTTCTGGTGGTAATGCATGCAGCGACATGTTCATTGCTGTAACAAAAGCCTGACCAGCACGGTGTCGCATTTTGACAAGATTTCCTCGCTGGGCATATTCGTAAACGCTGAGAATTAGAAGTGCGAGAATGGCCTCTAATTCAACGGGGACATGCGGGTGAAGTGATGGTCGTTTAGGGATAGGATGTTCGTTGAGAAGGGCTTGGGAAGGGTTGGCACCAGACTCCGCAATTTCGGATTCCGTCTCAACGCTCTCTAAGGATGCTCGAGAAAACCACTGGGCATACGACCGTCGAAGTCGCACTGACTCCGGTGAGGATGGCTTTAGGTCCTTTGGATGGGGGACTAGGGCCAGAATGGCGGATATTGCGAGACTGATGGGCGACTTCGGTATGTAACCTAACGGAGTGTCCATGCCGAGTTTTTGATGTGATGATTTCCCTGGGAAGTCCAGGGGGCGGTCAATTGTGATGGGGGAATGTGCAGGAGGGAATATCGGGAAATATTGATGGATAAATATGTAATACCCATTGAGGTGGG